CCGGCCCTCCCCCGGTCTTCCTGCCACGTCCTTGGCATGGGGATTGCGATCTCTCCCCACGACTCGGGACCTTGGACACAGTTCCTATTGTTTTGGGAGCATTTCACCGGATAAACAACGCCTGTCGTGATGAGTGCTTTGGTTTCGTTGGCAACCGAACCCCCCACGTACACCTAAGGTTCATCGTTTGGAACGAGGGCTAGATTCCAGAAATCCCTCAATATGACTCCAATTCGAATGCGTGTGTAAAAGCGCAGCATTCGGGTTGTATGTTGCCGCGCCAAGTGCTGCCGTTCTTTATATTCGGAACTTATCGGTCGATTGATGCTGAGCCGGAGGGGGTTCAGGGCTAGCCCTCGGACAGTCGAAAGCCACTACTTCCACGCGCGACGGCGTCATTCCGCACGAGACCCATGTACTCCCGTCTCGAGCATCGGTTGATGGGTAAAAGTCACCGATCAAGAGAAGACAAACTCTCGACAAGCCTTTCCGTATCGTCCATTAGCGAGATATTTCAGAGGTGTCTTCATGTGCATTTTGGGAATGCTGCGGGAAGGGGGAAAGAAGGGGGCCGGGAAGCCATCGAGTTTGTGTCTTACCATCTTCAGAGTCGTGATATTCTCTTGCGTGTGTGAGAACACATGACGATATTGTCTCAGATTCTGCTGTAGGACAGCCGATTTGGTCGTGCGCCCCTCGCAGATAGCTTTCATCTGTGCCTCCATCTCCCTCCGCAGAAACGGTTTGCCGAGGCTCGTCTCGAACTCCATCCGATCGAACCCAACGATCAAGGCGACACCCAGTTTGGTGGGAATGAATACTTTGAGCCGGCCACGCGCGCCACCACTTCTCGACGCCGACGAGCCTCCGCCTCTCCCACCACGGCCTCGGCCGCCCCTGGCTGGTGGTACCGCATCCTCGTCACTGTCGTCATCCTCGTGGGCTTGGGCTTGCTGACCCGCCTGGTCTGTGAGGGCCACATATTGCCTGTCCTGGATCTTTTGAATATGCTCCGCCATGGTTGCATCCGTCCCGATTCCGTTAATGTCCATGAGTGCGATGAGATCCGCCTCCGTGAGATATCCCGGTGCGCTAGTTTTCCCTTCTGTCATCATAGCCTCTGTCGGTTCAAACGTCTCTCCCTGGGTGAACTTTGGGAGTTCTGCCGTGTCACTCCACTTCTCGTAGATGAAGACATCCAGGTAGTTGGTCTCCAGGACAACAAGGCCATGCGCGTGGAATGTTTCGTCGCCATAAAGGAGGTCGATGTTTGTCGACAGCCCCTTTGCGTCTTCGGAGCAGCAGGCCAGGAAACGGCGCACGACGTATTCATAGAGCCTCCTCTCGTCGTGACTGAGAACACTCGGGGACGCAAACGTTACGGGGTGAATGGGCGGATGAGCCTTGTCGTCGTGCCTTCCCTGACGAGGTTGGCTGAAGGCGCCGTCAAGGAGGCTCTGGGCGTATTGTCCCCATGCTTCCGACTGGGTCTGTTTCTGGACCGAGCGCTGTAAATTGATGTCCTTCGAGAACCGGTCTGTTTCCGTCCTCGGATAACTGATGAACCCTTTGTTGTAGAGTTCCTCGGCGACCTTCATCGCGTGTTGACCGTTCATTCGGAGAAGTCGAGTTGCGGCCTTTTGCAACTCGACGGTGGTCAGCGGCAGCGGCTTGAACTTTCTCGTGGGCTTCTCCTGAACTTTGGTGACCTTGGCCGTCTTAGCCCGGAGGCAGCGCTCAAAGAGTACGGTGACAGATAGGCGGTCGAAGAGCCTGTTCCGGTCCCAAGAAAACCGAACCTTCTTGTTTTCCCGGGTATGCGTGACTTGAATGCTCCAAAAGGGCTCTGGCACGAAGTTCTTGACTCGAAAGTACCTGTCCACAACAAATCCCAAGGTGGGAAATTGGCAGGATCCTACCCTGTCAGCCACGAGCAGAATGGGATTGGGGGAGCACTTCGAATACTTGGGCATACCGTAACTCAACATCATGTCAAGCAATGGCCCTCCAAGGGGCCGCAGCGTGTTTGTGAGGAACCGTGTGAAGGCGTAGCCTATCCTCAGATCGAGCTCTATTCTCGTGTCAACGGCATCGGCCTGCCGGTCATCGAGATCCACCAGATTTCGGGCAGCGCTCAGAATATGGCTTCCTCGCGTCAGTGGCAAAACGTGGCGCGATTCTCCAGAAGGAAGTGACATACGATCTTTCAATGTTGCTGAACTTGGCCCGCTTGACGCGCATCCCGCGGTTCCCTTTCTTGGATGCATCGACAATTTCCTTTCCAATGTTTTCGCCTTCACGGTCACAATCGGTCCAGATGATTAAGAGATCTGCGTAGCGGGATTGCTGGGATATATTGTCCGCAATGGCGCGCTTGTCCTGCGATGAAGCACATCAGCCATCCAAGCCTAGACCATCGGAAAAACGACGCCCGGTGTACACCAACCTGAGGGACAACTGTAACTATCGGGGCGGTGAAGAGAGACTCGGGAGGAGGGTATCTCCAGTCTCTGTTGGCTTCGGTGAACTCCATAGTGGTGAGATGACCGCGGACGGCGGTCATGGTGACGGAGCAATGGTTCCATGGCGGCCCGAAATCAAAATCGAAGCAGTAGTTTTTGGTGTACTGGTCACGCGTGTTTCGCTATATCATAGGATAAGCGGATGTTCGAGTTGGTTTAGGATGAGTTGTCTTCACTCACTGTCTGTGGGTTGCCTCCAGCCAAGTGACCAGCCACGGCCTTGGAGATGGAGGGCTTCTCAGCTACACAGAGCACCCTAGTCATTCTGCGACGAGAGGTAAGAGAAAAGGCCGAGTTCGAGACCCCTGATTCTGTTGATGATTTGTTATGGCGAGTTTATCGGTATAGCTGAGGTGCGGTCAGCTGAACCTCTATCACTCTGTCGAGAAGCATAACCTGGATCAAGCTTGACGGAACAGGATATCGCCAATCGAGAGGAAAGGAGACTATGTCCTTATAATTGCGATTCAATTCTCTTGCCCTGATGATAAATGAAATTCCCGGCTCGCATTCGGCCAAGCAAGATGAGAGGAGAGCTTGATCATGGAATCAGCCTCCAGCTGGTTACTCGTCCCACCAACAAGGGATTTATCTAGCTCTCTCTTATCTGGCTGTCCAAATACATGGAGAGCTTCTTCACTCTAGAGAATCTCGTCAGAGTAGAAGGCTGATAATGCATTCTCAAGTCGTAGACGAGCCATGAGCGTCACCGGCAGAAATAGCGAAAACTTCATCACAGTTGGGGACAGGGGTCTGAGGCTTTCCAGGGGGTCCGAAAAGGCCTTGTCAGATTCCCCATACTAAGCCTCGAAATTGCTTCAGGGAGCTTTTAGGGCGGGTCGGGTGCTGCGTCCTCGCGCTGTGGCCTGAGACTGGCACTAACCGATTTAAAAGGGCCTGCCTGGGCAATTGGGACTGACCTGCCTGACTTAGTAAGGTAAGGAACTACAAAGTACTTCGTACCTTGCGCGAATCCATGACGCGCCGCCCCTTCCTCGCTGACGTTTACGTTCAACGTTCGACTTTGCAACGATAACCAACCCCGGAGACAACCTCTTGCCTTCGATCCCACATCGATTTCGGTCTTCCGGTGTATGCAAGCAACGTTGCTCTAGGCGAACCGATCCCGTGGATTAGAATCTCAAAGGACGGACGAAACAGGATAAGAGACAACAAGATGGCCATTCCGAATCTGTCAGCTCTCCCAGCTGTGAAGACGCTCGAAGAATGCGCCGACTTCTCCCAGACCGTCAAACCGTTCCTCCCGCAGCTCTACGAGCTTCCCAATAAGATACTGGACAACATTACCAATCCTCAGGCCCTACTACACGTCTACGTCGAGACAAATCCCCTTATCTTCGGGTTTGCCGTCTCCATCTTCCTCGCCGCCGTCTTCCTCGTGGTTGCCGAGTTGAACAGGAATTGGTCTCAGGTCGACCGCGCCTGGAGCATTCTGCCCAACCTTTACATCGGCCACCTTGCTCTTTGGGCCCGTCTCGCCGGCGTTCCGAGTGAAAGGATTGAATTTGTCCTTGCGGCAACGACTCTATGGAGTGTATGTTTTCGTTCTTCTTCTTCTTCTTCAGCCATTGTCTTTGACTCAGCTTCCCGCGCATTTCTGCCGTCGCCTCTTTCCCTCGCCCAGGATACATGGCTGACCTCCCGCTCCCTCAGGCACGCTTGACGTACAACTACGCCCGTAAAGGAGGCTACAGCATCGGCAGTGAAGACTATCGCTGGTAAGGCCACACAGGACTTTCTCGGTAGCGAAGGTAGCGAACGTAGCTGACTTGCCACAGGGTCATCGTTCGCAGCAAGGTTCCCGCCTGGGCCTTCTTCATCCTCAGCGTCACCTTTATTGCCTTCATCCAGAGCATCCTTCTCTTCGCCCTCTCTGCTGGCCCCGGCTACATCATTCTGCTCACCTCCTATTTCGAACCCGAAGTAAACACGTCCGATTCTGCCTACTGCATGATCATGCTCGCTCTCGTGGTTTCCGAGTACATCAGCGACGGCCAACAGTGGGCTTATCAAGAGGCCAAGCGCCGCTATCTCAAGGATGCCAAGGATGCCAAGGTGCCCGAAGGATACACTCAGGCCGATCTCGACCGAGGCTTCATCACCTCGGGTATGTGGTCCTACAGCCGGCACCCTAATTTCGCCGCCGAGCAGCTCATCTGGTTCGTCCTCTACCAGTGGAGCTGCTACGCCTCCCGCGTCATCACGTCCTGGGCCTTTGGCGGCATCGTCTCCCTCATGTTGATTTTCCAGGGTTCCACTTGGCTCACCGAGCGCATCTCCAAGGGCAAGTATTCTGAATACAAGCACTATCAGGCCAACGTGGCGGCTTTCATGCCAACCACTTTGGCGCCGTATAAGCCCGCGGGCCCCCCGCAACCAAAGATTATTAAGACCAGCGAGCTGGCGGAAAAGCAAAGCAAGAAGCAGAAACGATCGAATTAAAATTTGGGTATCCAATTGGGGGTGTCTGGATCTCAAAAGGACTGCATTCATTTAGCTGTTCATTGGCATTTACGTCATGATATACGTCAGCTAAGAATGAATGGGAGAGACGCTAGATGGCTGGAATTGGTATATCACAGGACCATATAGTTTACTTGATATCCTGATTGATTAATGCAACACGACACGTAGGCCCGTGTTGCTGGGATCAGAATGAGAGGAGAGGCGAGAAGGAATTAAGAGACAGGGGGGGGGTATGGACTCCCTTTCGAGTTGAGCCAGGTCACAGACCAGGGCAGAGAAATTCGCTCTCTACTTTAAGTTGTAAGGTTGTGTCTCAAGTCCGCTCGCAATGCCATGCCTAGCAAGTCGCACAACGAACAAATGTCAAAATTTCAAGTCGCCCAACCCATCCACATGATAGGCCGGAACGGCAGCGGCATCCGGCTTCTCCCAGTCCTCCCGCTTATTCACGCCGGTCAAGACGGCCAGCGTGCCGCCCAACCCGCCTTCGATGCCGAACCGAATGTCGGTGTCGAGCCGGTCGCCGATCATGCACGTCCGGGCGCGGTCGAGGTGGAACTTGCCCTCCACGGCGTCCATCATGGCCTGGCTGGGCTTCCCGAGGGCCAGCGGTTTACGGCCGAGCATGTTGACGAGGGGGAAACCGACGGAACCGGCGCCGGGGAAGAAGCTCCCGGACATGGGCAGGGACGAGTCGGTGTTGGTGGCGAGGAAGAGGGCGCCGCGGCGCAGGTACTGGGCGGCGGTGGCGAGCTTGAGGTAGTTGACGTGAAAGTCGAGGCCGCAGAGAACGGCGCCGACTTCCGGATCGAGGGCGGACCCGTCGGCTAGGTTGTCGAAATCTTCCGGGGTGATGTCGCGCCGGAGGGCCGGGTCCGTGCCTCCTATGAAGGAGACGCCTTCGGCGCGGAGCTCATCTTCGACTCCGGCTTCGCCGAGGACGAAGACCTTGGGCTTGTCCGAGGTTGGGAGGGCGAGGATACGGGAGACGTAGATGGCAGCCGAGTAGGATGAGCCGAAAATGTCATCCGGTGTGCAGGGGATGGATAGGCGGGTGAACTTCTTGTGATACTCTTGTCGGGATTTGGTCGAATTGTTGGTTACAAATATCGTGCGTTTGCCTGGGTGTATCGGAATGGAAAATGTGAGCCGGGTAGTCCGAGTTTGCCGACCTTATGTATCTACCTCATGATTTCGACTACCGTGGGATAGCTCGGAAGGGGGGCATAGGGGAGAAATATGAGAGGAGGGGTGAAAGAGCTAGTCCAGACCTTTTGACTGAAGAAACTCGATGGCCTCGCGAACGCCAGGGAGGAGCCTATCCCCCGACCACAAAACGCCTTGCATGTGTAGTCAGCACGAATTTCTTTCGGAGGATAAATTGTCTGCATTGCCACAGGTGCCAGGGGAAATACCATCGCAATCCAGGAGAAAGACCTAGGGGCGGGTGAGTACTCAAATGTAAGGCCGGCACGGGGAAATCAGAGACAAATCGCGCACATCGAACTTATCAAGAAATTCTTGGATTCCAGCCTTGTCGCCGGTCAGATATCTGGATGCTTGCGCCATGCTTTATGATGACCAGTAAGGAAACGGGTGTAATTGCTGTTGAGTCTATAAGTTATTAATATTCTACTCGATAGGCGAGCGACTGAGGCTGTTCCAGTTTGAGGAGTTGTCGGCGGGGGAAAAGGGGGATGGATTGG